GTGGATAATGGGGTGAATTTTGGTATTCATAAAAAGAGGTGGCAGACATCAATAGATTTTCATTGTTTCACCCTGAAAGGTAATAATATTGCATAAATTAAATAAAAAAAAAAAGTAAAATTTCTAATAAAAAATTAAGAAAATTATAAAACTAAAATTAAAATGGGGTTATTTATCATATTGGACCTCACTCAATGGGTTGAAGCTACTTTCATAACTTTAATTTATGTTATTTTCTAATGGTCATAATTGGTAGTATTGACACTTTTTTTTTTTGGGTTTTAAAGCTTAAAATCTTTTTTAGTCCATTTCTTTAGAAAAGAATTATCCCTAATTCATAATACTCCTTTAATAATAATGCCTAACCTTAAAATTAGCATTAATGTTTGTGTAATAACCTTGATATATTGCTAAGGATACTAAAGCGCCAAAATCTAAATTAAAGTAGGCAAAAGATTGCAAAAAGATCTGCCATACCAGAATCCTATTTTCTGAAAGTCCTAAAATTAGCATTAATGAAAGGCAGTTTTAATATTATCATGATTCAGAATCCCTTCCCACTCATTCAACCAAAGTACTAGTTAGGCAAAGTGAATAAAGACCAAAATTCCCCAGAAATCTGATACGTTTACAAGCCCTAAAACACTTGCAAACATGAGTGGATAAGGAATTGCATGTCCTAAAACACTTGCTTATTCGGTTGAATGGAAGAATTTCACTCAAAATCCTAAAACACTTGGATTATAGAGTGTGGAAAGTAATGGAGAAAATTCGGTCCAAACAAGTTCTAAGGAGGGAGAGAGTCCAAATATTTCGGCTCAAACCATTCCAAACTCAAACTCAACAAGGGAAGCTCAAGCTCACCAAGAAAGAAGCTCAAGTGTTGAAAATGTCCAATCCGGCCAAAGCCTTATTCCAAAGTGAAAAATCTACATGAACCTTTATTGGATCCATTTGCATGATTCTTAAGGCCCAAATTCTTACACTCTTGTTAGAAGACTTAATTAGAATCATTAATCAAGTTTTGATCTAATGAAGTAAACTTATGTCAACTAATGGGGTGGTTAAAGACATAGATCCTAAAATTAGGGAATTATGTCTCTTTGCATTAAATAGACATGACCTTGCTTTTTCAATGAATGACTTGTAATAATAGTTAACTTTTTTCATTTTATTGTATTTGTCAATTACTTGTTTATCCTTGTATTTGTCAATATAAGGACAACTATTTCATTGTAACAATTAGCTTATGAAATATATGAAATTGGTTTATCCATTTTAGAGAACTTTTGTATTCTTGAGTGTACATTCTTTATCCATGACTTGATAAAGAGATTTGATGGTGAATCAATTCAAGTTGGTGGAGTAATCCTTTAAGCTTGAAGTATTTCTACTTGTCTTGATGTAGATTTGCAAATAAGTGTGATTTAGTTATGTTTTTAATTTGGCTGAAATTCTACTTGATTTTCGGAGTATGTTATGTTGTTGAAATTGGTTGGAAATGGATCAAAATCCATTTGCTTCAAAAGTAGCAAAACATCTATATTAACATCATTGGCCATTACTGCCAAGTATCTCCTTCAATCTTATAAAAAAACTTGAGCGGAGAACTGAAGAACTGTATATGCATGAAATGCGTGTCTCGCGTGCATGCATATTCACAGTAATGATCATTTTATGAATTTCAAAGATGAAATGAGAGAAATAGAACGTGAATAATATGTTTTTTTTTTTCCTTGAGATCGTTCGAGATCACCTAAAGCAATATTATGAAGGGACGAGACTAGTACAACTAACTATATAGGCAAAAGAATTAAATCTATGTGAATGTATACATTTTCAGAAGCCCTCACATTCATAAAGAAAGCTGAGATGACATCCATATTGCAAGCGACACAATTCCAATGGTAGCAAAAGCCTGCCCGAATTCATACACAATATTTTGTTGCTGAAGTGGTAGATTTTGCCAGTCTGTCCGCCTGAGTGCGAGTCAAAATCAAGAACAGACAAAAGGTTAGACAAATAGTATGGCATAGTAAGAAGTAAATAGGAAGGCATGAAGATAGAATATGCTTGTATGTGTCTGACCTGGACACATCAAGGACCATTTGGTTTCCAATTGAAATAATCCATTATTTACCATGCATTAAAAAAAGAAAAGAAAAACAAATACATTTGAGATTATGTTGCCTTCTTTCTTTTCATTTTCCCGACAGTTCAATAATATTTAGATGTGAAGCTGACGAACTCTTCTGTTTGGAATGCCCAAGAATGAGCAAGTATGCAGCAACAAACTTTTTCTGTACCAATTTCAATTATAATACAGAACTGGGGGGAATTAATGAAGCTGTGCATCCATGGAGTGGACACACAACCTACGCCTAAGTCTGAAGATACTATTTTCAGCTTTTTTAGAGTCTCCTTTATTAATATGAATTAAACATCAAGGGAAAATGTAGTAATTAATTCAGGGTGACAAAATTCTTTTTCACTTTACATAAAAATAGATGATACTACAAAAAGAGCAACGAGAGTGATAAAATGAGTGCAGCTAGAGAACATTCCATTTATAAGTGAAATCCAAATGCTGCAGATTAATTTTTCGCAATGAACTTATTTTCACATTTTGGGTAGGTGATATTTTATAGAAATTTATTTTGAATTAATATCAAATTTGCAAATTATAGCTTAAGCTAGGTTGCAAATCAACAATGATGTCTCAGTTCAGCAGCATAAAAGAAAAATCAGACTAGTACAGACATGGGCATACCCTAAGTCGGCAATGACAATGCTGACATTATCTTGGGAATGTCGGTCCTGCAGAACATTTCCAATTCCAGAATGTATAAGTTACCAAGTACAATATGACTATTTTGTGTTGAAAAAAAAGGCAACACAGAAATATTCCACGTTACCAGAGCTGCTTGTGCAAGTGCTTCACAAGCTACCTGAAATCAGAAGAGAGGAAAATGAACACCGAACATGGTCACAAGATCATTCAACAACAGAGAGATATAGAATTAAAAAAGTGTTCTGATTACGAGACTGTTATGGAGCAAAACATCAGTACGAAGCAGAATGATTACCTGTACATCTCCATGTTGCTGAAGCTGATTCCTGACAAAAGTAACTGCTTCTGAGCTGAAACATAGATAGTTAACACATAAGTGGTCTCTTTTGAGCTACCAAAAATACTGCCTACTACTTAGCGAGCACTTCAGGAATATTTAAAGAACCAAGACAGAAGGGTTGAATAACAAACTTGTTCATGTAATCCCATAATCCGTCAGATGCCAACAGTATAAATTCCGCATCTAACCCAAGATCTATTTGGAAAATATCTGGCAACGCAATAACCAGGTCCTTGTTGAGTTTCACTCTATACAATACAAAGAATGTACTCATAATCAAAACAATGTTGTAAGTCCAAAAGTGTCTGTGAGTATTATTTTACTATAAAATACCACATAGTTTTGCAACTTAATATAAAATCATGCTACATATCAATTAAAATAGCTGAAGCTAATCTTGAGACAATATAACTTGGCAAATTTTCCTTGATGATGCATTAGTTCTGATCAACCTGAATTAGAAATATAAATTGCTGAAACTCTGTCTAGCATATGTCATTATTTATTAAGTCAATAGAAAGTGAGAACAGCTCGGTCATTTGTTATAGATATAATTTATATGCTGGTCATTTGTTATAGATATAATTTATATGCTTGTCAATATCTGTGTGTCTCGATCTTAATCAAGCTTAAACCACTCAATCAGCAGTTCTGAAGTAAAAGTAAAAGAACCATAATCAGTTTCAGACTATAAAAAACTAGACAAAACTCCATCTTCCTTCTGGTGTTATGCCTTTAAGCTAGGCAAGTTGAACCTCAAAATACAACCCATATGATGGAATTCAAAGTTGACCACAGGGTAAGCATATTAAATTTTTATGTCTGCTCCGATTTTCCCTTGTGATGAGGTTGATCCAATTATTAAATAATCAGAAACTTTAGACAAAATACCTACCGAGAAACAAATTTTTCAGACCATCTTCCTTCATCAACACCCTTCTTCAACATCCTGTGCACAAGTAAAACATCCCAAATCATTGAAATTTGTATACAGCAAACAGATTATATTCAATTTTCAGAAATAGTAACAGTCAATAATTGAACAAAAAGCATAAAGGGACGCACTCATTCTTCTTTGTCTTGAACCGGATGTCACCAAAAGCACGAGATACGGCAATGTCTCCACAAATCCTCCCATTGACAATCTATAGACAGTTTACATGTGAACTACCATCAGCCACGTAATGCAAGTTAGAATATGAGCATCAAGGGAACCATGGAGTTTATGACAAGGGAAAACACAAATCATAAGTATATAAGAGGTTTTGATTCCGTACTGTCAAAGACCCTAGTAGCTCAGAAAAGAAGCCAGTTAAAGATTTAAAACAAATGAGTGGCATACAAGAAAATACGCCTCTGTATAGCCTAAAGATATTTGGATATTTAGATTCTGAAGAAGAATGACAAGTTGAGGTATGCAGAAACTGTACAAACAAGAACATCAAGCAACTATGTTCGCACAATTTAACAGATCCTGCATCATTTTTTAATGCTGCAATTCCTCTTCACTTCAAAGAGAATTGGCCACTAGAAGAGAAGGAAAATGTAAGAAGTAAAAACAAAATTTGAAGAATAGAAAAACACACCCATCCACCTGCTTCTCTGATTCTTCTGATTTCTTGAAGAGAGACCTTGTTGCTTCCATAAGGCCGATGAGGATTAGTTAGTATATCTGCTTTTCCAGAACGAGATAGTACCTGCATCAAAATATTAATTGAAGGCATATGTTTCTATTTGATTCCACAGATTTTATCTAGCAAAAAATGAGGCCCAGAGCATCATAACCAGCACAAACTTTGGATCCGTACCAAACATGAGTCGCCAACATGTGAGATAAATAGCATATCTTTTCCGATCAACATAACTGTGGCTGTTGCTCCGGATTCGTCTTCCTCCGCATTCATTTCAAGCCTTTACAAAATGAAACACCATCTAAACCTTCAATGCAATAATTTAGAATATACAATTATATTGAGAGTACATACTGTATGCATATATCTTCAAAGAAAAGAACAGTGCCACAGCATAAAGAATCTATCGGCTCACCAACTCAACAATTTCTTATCAGCATTTTGAAAAGCTTCCTCTAAGGCCTCTCTAATTGCATTGTAATCTTTTCCACTCAATAACAATCCACCTTGTAAAGCTGCAACGCACTCTTTGTATAGCTCATCCCTGTGTTGGAAAATCAGATTAAGAACAACATGAAAAGAAAATTATACAATTGAATTAATTCCATATTGATTTTTCATTCCTATTCCGTTCAAATGCCGCTAAACACCACAAAATATATGAGATTCAGCACTCAACAAATTTAAAGCATCCTACAAATCATAGAAGACTTTCTTGTAACATGGAAACCATCCACAAATACATCGATAAATTAGCAGTTCATTTATTTTAAATAAAGGGTAGTGCTGAATCTTAGTTATGAACTCTGTCATGTAACATCAAACATTACATTTGTAAAATGAAAGGTTGTAGTTCAAGCTGGAAATCTAATTCTTTCCAGGAAATTTCAACCTTAGTCAAACGAGAAGACCCTTTATACAATTGCAACATAATTGAAGCACCTAAACTAGTTTTACTAGTAAACTTGATTAATCGGAGAACTACCCAGTAATGGAAATAAACTACATGATCGAATATGATGATTTGTAAAGCACAAAACTAAGAAAAAGAGACCCATGAGAGTTATGAAATAGACAAACCGAAGAAACTTGACAGAAGAGACACCACCGTGGCCATCAAAAACAGCAGCAAAGGAGAACCCATCAAGGCCATCGGATTGTATAACAAGATCATCCTCCATCTCTTCACGCGGGCCCTGCAAACTGGCGGAGCCCCATCGGATACCGGCAACGCCACTCAAAGAAGAGGGCGCGTCGATTGCAATCGCGGAGACGCTGAGAGTTTTAGCTCTTGTAGCAGTTACAGTATTGGTTTTGTTGGCGGGCTTGAAGTTAGATTTGTAATTGAGCTTGGATAAGAGAAACCTCTGTAAGTACTGTTGGCTTAGCAACGCCATTAAGACTGACTGACTTACTGAGTTGGAGCACCAGAGAGTTGAGAGGGAAGAGAAAAGAGTAAGAAGAGAGTTAGTGGTGGTGATGAGTTGGGTTAAAGAAAGGATAAGAGGAGTGAAGGAAAGCCTCATAACTGATTTAACCGATTATTTTCTTACGATTCATGAGATTGGATTGTCACTTTCTGTACTGCTCCTGTCTTGTCTACACTTTACACTTAATTTTTCTTTAGAATATGTATCATCGAATTTCTGTAAATTATAAATGCATTTATTTTTCTGAAAATACTATAAAATATGGAATGTTCACGACGCCCTCTTTTAATATTTGATACAAAATTTTAATTATATTTTTTTCATAAAATTACCAACTTATTTACTAGATCAGATGGTTGACTTTAAACGAAAGAGATGTTATAATTTCACCTAATTTTTAATAAATTTCAGATATATTACCTAACGGTGTATTGGTTCAAGAATGTTATATTACTGTAAATATTTATATTAATAAAAATATAGATTACCTTGAAGATTAACAGAAATTGTTTAAAAAATGTATTTGATTAGGTTATAATAAATTAGTAGGTATTTATATTGATTATTTAGTTTTGAAGGATAAATTAATGGATATATTATAGTAAACCTCTTTATAGTATACTCTATATAGGATAAACTCTGCATATTATAAAAAATTCTAGTCCCATTTGGGATGTGATAAATAACAATAAACTCTACATGTTAAGTTATAATTTTTCTAATTCCCGTCTTAAGGAAGTTGCCTTTACAAGTATAATTATCTGTATATTACAAAAAATATATGTTATGTAAAATTAAAGGTTTAAATGAAATAAAATATTTATTTAAAATTGTTTGAGACAAGTGATTTATGCTTTAGAGTTATTATCACATCTTTTACCTTACAAGTACGTAAACTAATTAGCTGGATCCCTTCTTGTTGAAACCAATATTTTAGTTTCTCAAGCATGTTTAGAGTTTCATACACAAGACTTTTTGTATTTATGTACTATTCTTTAGATTATTTCCTTTCTCTTCTTGTCTAATTGCAACAGTGATTTCTCCTTTAGTTAAGCATAACTTTGTTGCTCATTGGTAATCGAAGAAGACATTAATACAATTGTTTGCTCATTTTGGATAATCGAAGAAACTTAATACAATTTGTTTGCTCATTTGGATACTCGAAGAAGACTTAATATTCATTCGATGATTGTAGTGAAGTTGTCGAATCTGATCACTCAATTCATAGTGACTCTTTTATTCTCCTCATCCATTTCATTTGTAACTTACAATTCATTGACATAATGGTCCTAATTTTGCAGTGCGTAAAACCATTGACATTGTCTGTGGCTTCACATCAATTGACCATACATCACTGTATTTACAATTCTATCAATGACACTTATTTTTATTGGTTCTAAGAAGTCGATCTTTTATCCATCTCAAAAGTAGGCAATCGAAGCGTTGAATTGAAATCCTAATGTTACTAAATATGAATTGAAATCCTAATACTACACTACTAGACCATGAATTAAAAATAAGAAATCAAAACTGTAATTTTTGTAACTACACTCCATTAAGTTATAACCTCCTTATACTAATTAAATTAGTTAGTCCCACCATTATGACTATGAGAGGTTTTACTGTATATAAATTACTAAATTACATTTCTTTTTAAATTATATAAAAAAATTATTTTTGATCATTTTTTAACCCTCTATATTTGAAAATTTGCTAAAACACCCCAACCAATAAAAACTTTACTTTGTAACAAATTACACCCACCCCAACCCTAAGCCACTACCGCATTCCGGAATAGCGCACGATCGGCTATATGTGATCGACTGTGTGCCGGCAATGCCAGTTCCCGACCAAAGACGTAGCCTTTTCACACTAGATCTATGGCTATGAAACAACCATATCACGCCCAGATCTGGCCATTTTCGACCATAAATCACATATCCATTATTGAAAATAGAATTACCGATGCACTGACGACCAGATCTCGCTGTCTGGTGCCGTTTCAATAACTGTCGACAATGTGGTTGGTCGTTAGCGACATCTTGGTGGTTGGGGTTTGGCTGGGGGTGGCTATGTTTTGGGTAATTTGGTTGAAGTAAAAGGGTAGTTTCTTAAAAATCCTAAACATGAGGTTAAAATTGTCCATAAATTTATTGTACTTGTTTAGATAATAAATGTATTATTTTCGTAAAATTTTATTAAATACTAAAAGTAAAATTGTAACAAAATTAAGATTATCAAGTATTTTTAAAATACCTAAGAAAATAAAGATAATCGATTAACTCTTATATTACTAAAATAAATACTATTGATTTTGAAAATTACTTAATCTTATAATACTTAAACAATCAAATATGATAATAAGTAAAAAGATGATTACCGTAACCAACACGCCATAAGTATTATTACCGTATAAACTCACTATAAGATTTTACAATTTACAATTCACGGCACGAATGATGACACGGCAGAACGTGGTTTAAGTCTGGCTAGTTCAGCTTATTTATTCTGTGAATACAGGCCAGCTTCACACCACCGTATTCGGCAGCTAATTATTCAATAAATATTACTTTGCGTATCAAAATAACATTATATAAAATTAGTAAATAACCATGATAATAAAGAGATTTTACATAACATTATGTACAATTTGTTGTGTGACACAATTTTTTTTTTTATTAAATGGTCCCTTTGTTTTATATCTAATATATTCTTTATTTTCAAACAAAAAGATAGAATTAAAATTTAGAAATATGATGGATTAAAATATTTGTCAAACCAATCTTTTAACGACATCTTAAAATTAATATAAAGTTATAAAAATAAAAAATGTGTACTTTTTCTTCTTTTTTCTTAAATATTTTTTTACTTCTAAATAATTTTAACATATTATGTTAGCCTAATGTAAACCTAGATTTGAGTAATATTGTTGTTGCAGATAATAATAATATTGATCAAAGAATAAATTCTTCAAACAACAATATAAGAATATAATAAAATACAAGTAAATGAAAGCTGAGATAAAAATAAAAACAATTTAACCCAAACTAATTAATACATTATACTCCATTGATTGAAGCTTTTCCATCTCGTCCAAATGTCAGACTTTCTCATTTTGTCATTTCCTATTTTATTGGTACAAAGGATGGCCATCAAACTCTCCTAAACATTCTCACTCTCTATATTGTTCACTGTTCCTAGTCATACACATAGCTTATAATTTTCTAATCTAAATAATAGTCTTAAACTTTCCTTTCTGGTCTCTGTATTTCTCTTTCTTCAAATGAACTTTTGTTTTTAACCAAAATAAGGCATGAAAATCCTCTGCATCTCAAGTCCTTGAATCACATCTTCTTGTTTACACTGTTTTAAAACTCGGACTGGACCGAATCGATGGTCGAACCGGTTCGACCTGAGCCGGCACCAACACTGGTTTGAAAACCTTCTGAACCTGCTTTTAACAATTAACCCAAGAATAAATCGGATTTGGACCGGCGGATAGTCAAACCGACGGTTAAACCGACCGATGGCACAACCGAGTCACCAAATTCCCTAAAACAATTTCCCCTTTTCCATTTTCAGTTCTCCATTTTCAATTTTTACATTTTAAATGCCTATTAACATCCAACATTTTATAGTACAACCATGTTTCAAAATTTAAATTCATGGATTGTTAAACGGAAAATATGATTACAACAAATACCAAACAATCCAACCAACAAATTGCAACCAATCAATATTTTTGAGAAAACCTTAGGTAAAGATGTCAAAAAGTCAACAAGATGCACAAGTAGCCACTAGCCATCGTAGATAAAAAAAAAAAAAAATGCAAGGAAGAAGAACAAGACGGTAGAAGAAGAAGAAAAAAAAAATGGAAAAAATAAATCTAACAGCCAGAACTCTCACCGTGGCAGATAGATCCAACAGCCACGAAGCCTCTCACCGTGGCAGATAGATCCAGCACCACGAAGCTTCACCGTGGTAGATATCCAGCAGCCACGAAGCCTACACCCGTGGCGAAGCAGCCACGAAATCAACATTGTGGTGGAGCAGCCACAAAGCCACGCCGTTGGGTCTAAACGGTAGCCAGGTAATTGAAAAAAATGCAAGGGGAGAGAAAGGGAGACTGTAGAAGAAAGAGAGAAAGAAATGGAAAAATGAATAAAAGGAATTTAGGGTTTTCTTTATAAGTTTTAAAAAGTCAATAATACCCTCTTTGAAACGGCATCGTTTTGGATTTGTTGACATCATTATAATACATCCCCGATCTAATCGGTTGGACTGGTCAACCAGGAACCCGAGCCCTTGATTGGTCAAGGCTCAAGTCGGATTTTAAAACATGGCTTGTTTAAGATCCGTTAAAAAATCTATTGATTTCTCACAGAATGTTCTGGTTTCTTACCCATGGTGGGCTACTTCTTTTGATTTTGATGGGCCGTGGTAATGTAAATTACTGTTAGAAACAATAAATATATAGTCATTACATTTAATTTTTTCTCATTCAATATTGATTCGTGTTTGCATTTTGGCATTGGTTTTTTTTTTTTTTTTTTTTTTTTTTTTTTTTTTTTTTTTTTTTTTTTTAATTTATATAAATAGGCTATTAAACCATGGCATTGGCATACATCTCCTGAAATGTGAAGATCCTGATAAAATGCCCACCATCAACCACATTAATCCCAGGGGCAACCACATTTCCTTCCAGGTATTTCTCTCTCAATCTTCTATCTTATATGCACATATTACAATTTCACAAGTATTGAAGTTGTGTGTGTGTGAAACAGTTTAACAAAATTGGCTTTTGTTGGCAGTGTGAGAGCATAATAACAGTGGAAAGAACATTGAAAGAGATGAAGATGGATTACGTGAAGTGTAGAGTCGAGGAGGGAGAAATCTCTGTTGATCAGTTGTTTTTTCATGACCCAGATGGCTCAATGATCGAGATTTGCAATTGTGAGGTGCTGCCTCTGGTTCCATTAGCCGGAGATGCCATCAAACATGTTCAAGTCTCAAATGCAAATTTCAGCAGCTGCAGCTGCAGATTCAACAAGCAGAGCAAACGCAACAACCACCACAAGTGGAGTAATTTGCCTTTTATTAACATGAAGAAAGACTTTCTTCATTTTGCATCAGAAGTACCTTGTACAGGCAATCCATTCTATACATCGCATTCTTGTTGTATGAATAATTAAATTGGCTAAACTTTCACTAACTCAGTACGATACCATCCACTTATAATATGACATGCCAATGATTTTCAAGACATTAAAATTACAATTTCAGCATGTAGCAGGCATCCAATTATATTGTCTTCATAAGCTTATGTGAATTCTTCTTTCAAATAAAGTAGGTCCAGGCTTGAAAGGGTCAGTTTCCTCGTATGCATCTGGTCGGTAGAACCCTAAATCATTTACAAGATTGCTTAGCACAAGAAGGATAGCTTTCTTCTTACCTCCATATGCATCTCGGTTGCTCTCAACATATTCTTTAGCCTCAGCAGCTACCTCGTTTACAAAATCAAATTGATTATCCTCAGATAGCAACAGCCTCTCAATGTCCATGGTCAAGAGCTTTCCCCCTTCCTTTATCTTTCTCGCTTGCTCCTCTAAGTAACATGTCATCCTTCTTTGTCTGAAACAAACAAAATTTGTCTGTAAGAATTTCCACTGAATTGAGAGGATATCCGAGCAGATCATGATCAAATGAATCATGCCAGTTGCATATCACAACTAGAATACCCATTAGCACAATTCGCTGACTTAATGTGCTCAAGTTATTTATCAAGAATTTAAAGCTAAATTTCTTTTATAATCATCAGTTGCCAAATATCTACAAGCATGAAATATATATAGCAAGCAGTTGTTAAAGTCCACTGCAAAATTCCCATGGTGACATCATATGACATTACCATCTCCAGCGAGTATTGTTTCACTTATTCTACTCCCAAATACATAATCGTAGTAACATATCACAACTTTATAGTAACAGCCAATTTTCAAATTTAAATTCATGGATTGTTAAACGGAAAATATGATTACAACAAATACCAAACAATCCAACCAAAAATTGCAAACCAATCAATATTTTTGAGAAAACCTTAGGTAAAGATGTCAAAAAGTCAACAAGATCACAAGTAGCCAACTAGCATCGTAGATAAAAAAAAAAAAAAATGCAAGGAGAGAAGAAACAAGACGGTAGAGAAGAAGAAAAAAAAATGGAAAAATTAATCTAACAGCCATGACGCCTTCACCGTGGCAGATAGATCCCACAAGCCACGAGCCTTCACCGTGGCAGATAGATCCATCAGCCACGAGCCTTCACCGTGGTAGATAGATCCAGCAGCCACGACGCCTACACCGTGGCGAAGCAGCCACTAATCCATTGTGGGGAGCCGCCAGAAAAAAAAAAAAAAAAAAAAAAAAAAAAAAAAAAGAAAACAAAAAAAAAAAAAAAAGAAAAAAAAAAACAAAAAAAGAAAAAAAAAAAAAAAAAAAAAAAAAAAAAAAAAAAAAAAAAAAAAAAAAAAAAAAAAAAAAAAAAAAAAAAAAAAAAAAAAAAAAAAAAAAAAAAATCAAGGAAGAGAAACAAACGTAGAAAAAAGAAAAAAAAAAGAGAAAAAAAATAAAAACAATGAACTTCACAATAGAAAAGACAACTCAGGGATAGAATCAGCAGAGAACTACCGGTAGATAGACAGACACAAGAAAAAAGATGGAAAGCAGAAAACAAATTGTAAAAAAAAAAAAAAAAAAAAAAAAAAATGGAACAAAGCCTACGCCGTTGGGTCTAAAACGGTACCAGGTAGATTGAAAAAAATGCAGGAGAAGAAAGGAGACTGTAGAAAGAAGAGAAAAGGGGAAAATGAATAAAAGAATTTAGGGTTTTCTTATAAGTTTTAAAAAGTCATAATACCCTCTTTGAAACGGCATCGTTTTGGATTTTAGTTGACATCATTATAATGACATCACCGATCTAATCGGTTGGACTGGTCAACAGGGACCCGAGCCCTTGATTGGGTCAGGCTCAAGTGGATTTTAAAACATGGCTTTTTATAGATCCTTTAAAAAATCTATTGTTTTCTACAAGAATGTTCTGGTTTCTTACCCATTGTAGGGCTACTTCTTTTGATTTTGATGGCGCGTGGTAATGTAAATTACTGTTAGAAACAATAAATATATAGTCATTACATTTAATCTTCTCATTCAATATTGATTCGTTTTGCATTTTGGCATTGGTTTTTTTTTTTTTTTTTTTTTTTTTTTTTTTTTTTTTTTTTTTGTTATTAGTGTAGTGAAGTTGTCGAATCTGATCACTCAATTCTATAGTGACTCTTTTATTCTCCTCATCCATTTCATTTGTAACTTACAATTCATTGACATTAATGGTCCTAATTTTGCAGTGCGTAAAACCATTGACAATTGTCTGTGGCTTCACATCAATTGACCATACATCAACTGTATTTACAATTCTATCAATGACACTTATTTTTATTGGTTCTAAGAAGCGATCTTTTATCCATCTCAAAAGTAGGCAATCGAAGCGTTGAATTGAAATCCTAATGTTACTAAAATATGAATTGAAATCCTAATACTACACTACTAGAACATGAATTATAAAATAAGAAATCAAAACTGTAATTTTTGTAACTACACCTCCATTAAGTTATAACCTCCTTATACTAATTAAATTAGTTAGTCCCACCATTATGACTATAGAGAGGTTTTACTGTATATAAATTACTAAATTACATTTCTTTTTAAATATTAATATAAAATTATTTTTTGAATCATTTTTTAACCCTCTATATTTGAAAATTTGCTAAAACACCCCAACCATATAAAACTTTACTTTGTAACAAAATTACCCCCACCCACCCTAAGCCACTACCGACAGTCGACGGAATAGCGCACGATCGGCTATATGTGATCGACTGTGTGCCGGCAATGCCAGTTCCACGACCAAAGACGTAGCCTTTTCACAACTAGATCTATGGCTATGAAACAACCATATCACGGCCAGATCTGGCCATTTTCGACCATAAATCACATATCCATTATTGAAAATAGAATTACCGATGCACGGACGACCAGATCTCGCTGTCTGTGTGCCGTTTCAATAACTGTCGACAATGGTGGTTGGTCGTTAGCGACAGTCTTGGGTGGTTGGGGTGGTGGCTGGGGGTGGCTATGTTTTGGGTAATTTGGTTGAAGTAAAAGGGTAGTTTCTTAAAAATCCTAAACATGAGGTTAAAATTGTCCATAAATTTATTGTAAATTGTTTAGATAATAAATGTATTATTTTCGTAAAATTTTATTAATAATAAAAGATAAAATTGTAACAAAATTAAGATTATCAAGTAATTTTAAAATACCTAAGAAAATAAAGATAATCAGATTAACTCTTATATTACTAATAATAAATACTATTGATTTTGAAAGATTACTTGAATCTTATAATACTTAAACAATCAAATATGATAATTAAGTAATAAAAGATGATTACCGATAACCAAACACGCCATAAGTATTATTACACGTATAAACTCACTATAAAGATATTTACAATTTACAATTCACGGCACGAATGATGACACGGCAGAACGTGGTTTAAGTCTGGCTAGTTCAGCTATTTATTCTGTGAATGACAGGCCAGCTTCACACCACCTGTATTCGGCAGCTAATTATTCAATAAATATTACTTTGCGTATCAAAATAACATTATATAAAATTAGTAAATAACATGATAATAAAGAGTAATTTTACATAACATTATGTACAAATTTGTTGTGTGACACAATTTTTTTTTTTTATTAAATGGTCCATTTGTTTTATATCTAATATAGTTCTTTATTTTTCAAAACAAAAGATAGAATTAAAATTTAGGAAAATATGATGGATTAAAATATTTGTCAAAACCAATCTTTTAACGCAATCTTAAAAATTAATATAAAGTTATAAAAATAAAAAAATGTTGTACTTTTTCTTTCTTTTTTCTTAAATATTTTTTTACTTCTAAATAATTTTAAACATATTATGTTAGCCTAATGTAAAACCTAGATTTGAGTAATATTGTTGTTGCAGATAATAATAATAATAATTGATCAAAGCAATAAATTCTTCAAACAACAATATAAGAATATAATAAAATACAAGTAAATGAAAGCTGGAGATAAAATAAAAAACAATATATAAACCCAAACTAATTAATACATATACATCCATTGGATTGAAGCTTTTCCATCTCGTCCAAATGTCAGACTTTCTCATTTTGTCATTTCCTATTTTATTGGTACAAAGGATGGCCATCAAACTCTCCTAAACATTCTCACTCTCTATATTGTTCACTGTTCCTAAGTCATACACATAGCTTATAATCTTTCTAATCTAAAATATAGTCTTAAACTTTCCTTTCTGGTCTCTGTATTTCTCTTTCTTCAAATGAACTTTTGGTTTTAACCAAAATAAGGCATGAAAAATCCTCTGCATCTCAAGTCCTTGAATCACATCTTTCTTGTTTACACTGTTTTAAAACTCGGACTGGACCGAATCGATCGGTCGAACCGGTTCGACCTGGAGCCGGCACCAACACTGGTTTGAAAACCTTCTGAACCTGCTTTTAACAATTAACCAAGAATAAATCGGATTTGGACCGGCGGAATAGTGACAAACCGACGGTTCAACCGGACCGATGGCACAACCGAGTCACCAAAATTCCCTAAAAACAATTTCCCCTTTTCCAATTTTCAGTTCTCCATTTTCAATTTTTATCATAATTTAAATGCCTATTAACATATCACAACATTTTATAGTAACAGCCAATGTTTCAAAATTTAAATTCATGGATTGTTAAACGGAAAATAATGATTACAACAAATACCAAACAATCCAACCAACAAATTGCAAACCAATCAATATTTTTGAGAAAACCTTAGGTAAAGATGTCAAAAAGTCAACAAGATGCACAAGTAGCCAACTAGCCATCGTAGATAAAAAAAAAAAAAAAAATGCAAGGGAGAGAAGAAACAAGACGGTAGAAGAAGAAGAAAAAAAAAATGGAAAAAATGAAATCTAACAGCCATGAAGCCTTCACCGTGGCAGATAGATCCAACAGCCACGAAGCCTTCACCGTGGCAGATAGATCCAGCAGCCACGAAGCCTTCACCGTGGTAGATAGATCCAGCAGCCACGAAGCC